GGCTACATTTTAAATAAATAAATATGAGAATAAAGTGGGAAAAACAGAAAAAATGCATAGTGGAGAAAGAATATTAAACTCACTAAGAGTTATCTGGTACATGTTTATTATTACCATTTAAATCAAGTTAATCAAATTTTCAGATGCACAAAATGATTAGCTTTGTCATGTGGTTATTCCATTTGTAATCTTCTAAAACAAAGAGGCTAATGTGGAAAAATTTTGAAAATTTACTTTGTTTCCAGGAAAAGAACATTTCTTATGACTGCAGAAACCTGTCCAGGCTTCAGATATCGACTGTAATCTTCTAAAAAAAGAGGCTAATGTGGTTATAGTCTTGAAAGTTTACTTTGTTTCCAGGAAAAGAACATTTCTTATGACTGCAGAAACCTGTCCAGGCTTCAGATATCGACTCCTCAGTTTTGACATAGCAGCTTTCACTTCTTTGTTCCTTAGTGTGTAGATAACTGGGTTTAAAATGGGAGTAAAGATGGTATAGAACACAGCTAGGACTTTGTCAACTGAATAACTGCTGAAAGGCCACACATAGATGAAAATACAGGGTCCAAAAAACAGTGTGACCACAGTGATGTGAGCAGTCAAGGTGGAGCGGGCCTTTGCCATGCTAGCCGAAGAGCGATTCCGCACTGTGATAAGTATCACTGTGTAGGACACAACCAGGAGAAGGAATGAACTCAAGGACAGAAAGCCACTGTCTGCAACTATTAGTAGACTGACAACATAAGTGTCCATGCAGGCTAGCTTGGTCACTAGAGGCAAGTCACAGAAAAAACTATCTACCTGATTAGGTCCACAAAAAGGTAGGTTAACAGTAAATGCAAGCTGGCTAGTAGTGTGGATGAAGCCCACAAACCAGGAGATGAGGACAAGAATGATACATACCCGGCGGCTCATGATGGTCATGTAGTGGAGGGGTTTGCATATAGCAACGTAGCGGTCATAGGCCATGGATACTAGGATCACCATTTCACTGCCAGTGAAGAGGTGAACAAAGAAAATCTGAGCCAGGCAGGCATCAAAAGAAATTGTCTTGCGTTCCACCAGAAAGTCTGCAATCATTTTGGGGGTAGCAAAAGAGGCAACACATACATCTATAAATGAGAGGTTGGCAAGCAGAAAGTACATGGGGGTATGAAGACGGGAATCTGAGGACACAGTGAGGATGATGAGAAAGTTGCCCAGCAGAATTGCTAGGTAAAGTAATGAAAATATGAGAAACAAGAAAGGTTGGAGTTCTTTGGAACTCGAGAGTCCCAACAACACAAATTCAGTCACCCGAGAATGATTTGTTTCATTCATTTACTTTGGAAGGGACTTGTTTTTCCCGTTACCTGAATAGAAGAGAAACAGAGTTCCATCAATAAAATGAGTATGATTTTTATTTCCCAATTACACTTCAGATTTTCAGTATTCTAAATTCCTATTTATATTTGCATACCTGGATTTTCACAAGTCATTGAAAATTATGTAGGATGTACAACTCTGCTAAAATGGAAAGCTGTGTAAGAGGAGCGTGTTGCCAAGATGTTCAACTAATTGGTATATTCAGTTATATAAATTTAAGAAACAAAATCAATACATTAAAAATAAAATTGAGGGACCAGCCCTTGACGTGATAGTTTAGGCAGCAGGATCCCATGTGACTGACTGAATGGTTTGAGTGCAGAACCTGGCTGCTTCAGAAACGTACTCCATGTATGCATATGTATACCTAAAATCCCAAATGGAGGGAGAGATGGAGAAGGAACTGTGGTGTGATCATGTGCATGTTGGGATGCTTTCTCACTTTCCCTCTCTTTCTATCTCTCTCCAGCAAGCTCATGCACCTCTGATGAAATTTTAAAAGAAAAAATGAAGTTGAACATTTAAAAAGTTTGATATCACAGAAATCCAATCTAGGAATCCACAGAGACAAATTGTAAACTTTCATCTAAAGAGAAAAATGTAAGAAAAGCATTTGTGAAAAGCTACCATAGAGGAAGATCATTTCACAAACTTAATGTTAACAGAAAAATTAGACACAAAAAATACATACTATATCAAGCTCTCTAAATAAAGTTTTTAAATAGGCAAAACTAATCTAACTGTTAAAAAGCTTGGTAGTGGTTATCCTTGAAAAGGAAATAGGGACGGGAAAAGAACTCCTGAGAGCTGCTAATACCGTTTTTTGATGCAGTTGATAGTAATATGGGAGAATTTACTTTATGATATTTTTTGAGTTATACATTTCTGCTTTTTGCACTTAAATGTACATAAATTATATAATTATAAAAATTAAAACAGGAGGGGCTAGCAAGTACCATTGTGGTTAAGGCACTGAATTCCCACATTGCCAACAACAGTTTGAGACTGGAACCCAGTGGCTTGAAAATCACTCTGAGTATGTGCACAGGTACCCAAAATCCAGAGAGGAGAATGGAGAAGAAGGGGTTGAGACATGGCCATCCCCCTCAGGGGGTGATTTCTCACTTTCCCTCATTTTTCCTGTCTCTGTCTGGCTGTCTGGTAAGCACACATGCCCTGTCATGGGGGCGGGAGAGGGGGGTGAATACAACAGGAAAGAAAGAGAGTGTTACATTTGCATAAGACAGCTCACAAGGAAACCTGTCCTTCAGTAATTACATCTTCTTTCCTCTTTCCAGTTACAAAATATATAAGCTGAAATATATCACTGGCAAAAAATGAAAGGACTAGAGGTTAATAAAATGGTATTGTCTATCGCTCAACTTTTCACGGGGTTCTAGTTTATAAAGAAATACAGTGTATTATTTATTTTCAATTAATGAAAAGATAGAAGATACTAAGCTGCTGCTTTTCTTTCTTTCTTTCTTTCTTTCTTTCTTTCTTTCTTTCTTTCTTTCTTTCTTTCTTTCTTTCTTTCTTTTTTTTTAATATGCCAGAGTATGTACTTTCAATAGAGAAGATAGAGACACAGAAAGTGAGATAGTATGTCCCATGCTGCAATCCCTTCCCCTCCATTTGTCCCTCCTTTTGGGATTTTGGGCATGCACACACGTGTCCAGTGCATTTCTCAAACTTCTGGTTCTGAGATTCAAACACTGTAGTTAGCCATGTGAGATCCAACAGCCTTAACCACTGTGCCACACACTGCCCCAATATTAAGCTTCTTTAAACTCAATCATGATGTTAATAAACATAAATGTTTTTATTGCTTTTGGTTTACAAGACTTTAGGGAATACAGTGTAAAGGATAGGAGTTTCTGTGTAAGAATTTCAGATCATGAGAAAAATATTTTCCCTCTCCCTGCCCCAATATTAAGCTTCTTTAAACTCAGTCATGATGTTAATAACCATAAACTTTATTGCTTTTGGTTTACAAGACTTTAGGGAATATAGAGTAAAGGATAGGAATTTCTGTAGTAAGAAATTCAGATCATGAGAAAAATATTTTCCCTCTCCTCAGTTATTCTATGTTCTATTACCAGAACTTCCTCTCTTCTTTGCTGTTCTTCTAGTGTAAGCTACTTAGAAAAATCATTCTCTATGTCTAAATTATGTCTTGGGAGAGGACATCTTTATTTTAATGATTATTTTGAGGATAATGAACCATGAAATTTTTGATATTCATGCCTTCTTAAGATTATAGCAATTTTTGATATTTATGTCTTCTTAAGATTAGAGCTACAAAATGTCCATTCTCTGATTTTGACTAGGGAGTTTATGCAATAGAACAGAACATGAGATGAATCATCTTAACTTCCAGAAACAAAATTCAAAAAAAAAACAAATCTTCCATTGTCTAGAAAACTTAGCAAGGAACTAATTCATGTATTGTCACAGATTATTTCAAAGCTATGTATGACTTGAGGATTTTCATGAGAGTTTAACAAGTGGAGTTTGAAAGTGGGGCATGAAAAATTATGAAGTGCAATAAGTTTATCTTTGAGGAGTCACCACATTCTCTCCAATGTTTTAAACTCCTTATTTTTCAGGAGTCCTAACTCTCAGACCCCCTGATACAGACACCGTCACGCACTGCCTAACAACATTTTTGACCAACCATAGACCACATATATAACAGTGCAACCTAGGATTGTGATTACACTAAAAGCTTCTTGCTACCATCATAGTGCAATGCATTGCCCACATATTCATCGTGATGCTGGAGCAAACAAACTGTGCTGCCAACATATAAAAGAACAGCACATACAC